AGACCACGATGGATCGCCGTCTCTGATCGAAGATCGCGGACTAGAACAGTATTCCAGATATTGAGGAGCGCCCAACCGGCTCGAAGTTATCAGGTTTTGAAATACACGAAGAAGAGGTTCTCAAGCGCCCATGGTAGCTCTAAATCCCAACAAATCATGTGGACCAGACGGCTTCCATCCCAGATTGCTCAAAGAATTAGCAACCGTTCTGTCCGGCCCATTGACAGTATTTCAAAAAACCTTGAACGAAGGAACTTTGCCGTCCGACAGGAAAGAAGCTCAAGTAACACCATTGTTCAAAAAAGGTGACAGAAGAAACCCCGGGTGGGGTACCTTTTAATTCAAAGAAACGGGTCATCACCTTAATTAATAAATCATTGCGTACAATATTTCGGGTTAGGTATGATGAAAACCATATCCCATTGACTCGTACTAGTGTGTTATATAAACAGTCGAAAATTCTTAAACTTGACGATATGTACAAATTTCAGCTGGTAAAATTCATGAATAGGGCACTTTTCCACGATGAACGTCTTTTTAATTCTGCATTCGCCTCTCTTGTTCCTCAACATTCCCATAACACCAGGGGCATGCGTTTTAACTTACCCCCGGTTCGGTTAGAAATTGAAAAAACGGCATCGTTTTTAATTGTGTAAAATATTTTAATGAATTTCCTGATGAGTTTAAAATAGATTGTTCTAAATTAATTTTAAAGACCAAATTCCGCGATTTTATTCTTACCCAGTATTAATTTGACTTTGATTATCATGTAAGATTTTATTAGTTGCCTTTCTTAATAAGTTCTCTGATAAATATTATGGTGTAAGTCAACATTGTTTTGAGTTTTCGTCTTAGTTGTATCTGTCTTTTAGGTATTAGGTTGTTATTGGCTTTGTTATATTCATTTTTAGTCGCCAAGTTGCTTGTTCTTATATCAGTTTTATAAAGGGTTAGTTTATAAGGATCTTCTTACTTTGGGCACTTTCTGTTTCCTATTGACTTATCTCAGTTTCATTACGTTATTGTTCTATTGAGAGTAATTTCGCCTATGTCGCCTGTGAAGCTTTTTAGCTTATATAGGCATTCACAAGGAAGCAATTTGTATTTTTTCTTCAAATTTTCATGGTCTCTTGTTATGTATATTTTTGTGTGCTCCTCTGTGAATAAACAATAAACTGAAATAATAGCCCTCCCAGTCTGACAAGCGTTGTTAATTTTGTAAGCAAATGGAATCTGTTGTGAGGGATAGGATTATTGATCACTTAATTGACTGTTCACCATCTCCTATCAGATTGTCAACATAGTTTTATTGCCGGTAGATCCTGCGCCACTAACTTATTGTCTGCGTTGAACGATTTGACTCGCCTGCTGGATGCATTGTTTCTCGATTTTGCCAAAGCATTTGACAGTATTCCGCATGAGCGGCTGTTGCGTAAAGTGAAATCTTTGGGAATTGAGGGAAACGCACTCCAATGGATCAGAGATTTTCTAGTAGGTAGACAACAACGTGTCAGTATTAATGGAACCGTATCAGACTGGGCATCAGTGTGCAGTGGCGTGCCACAAGGAAGCGTTCTTGGGCCTATTTTGTACGTTGTTTTTATAAACGTTCTGCCAGAAGTAGTGTCCATGCAGCGTGTGCTTCATGATTGCCGATGACACAAAAGTTTATAATACAGCGAAGGATGCGTCAAATAAAGCGCAATGGCAAGATGTACTAACCAGACCCAACATTGCTTAACTTCGCTGATCGGACGAGAAGCGGTGCTTTCAACGTGGTATGGCCGTTGGCGAGAGCCAATGAGTAATTTCTTCCATTTATACCAGCTATGAGATNTGTCACGGAAGCAGAGTTTCCTAGTCACTAATGGTATAGTCACAGCTAATGAGGGAAGCCCCTTAGCGCTCTATCGTCACCAACGACGTGGTCGACTTAGTCGCCACTGCAGGGGGATTTCTGCCACCAAATGTTTGAGGTCTTGAGGTGTGTGCATGATTTAGTGAACTATGTGGCCTAGGCGGAATTAACTTGACATAACATTACGGTCAAAAAGCAAAAGCCAACAGCATCTGGTGTTCCCAGGCGGTCACCCATCCAAGTACTAACCAGACCCAACGTTGCTTAACTTCGCTGATCGGACGAGAGGCGATGCTTTCAACGTGGTACTTGCCATGTTGTGGATAAAATTAGCCTGTTGTGTATTAGCTAAGATTATGTACCTATGTATTATTAACGCATCGCAAGAAACACTAGTATAGTATTTTCATTCGTGTTTTCACTCGTATAGTATTTTCATTCGTATATTTTATTTTGCTTTTTTATGGATAACGGCTCATTCACATATCTGCGAGTAATGTTTCATGCATGTTGAAAATAGCTATTTCAACCATCGAGTCGATGTTGAAATTTTCTTCAATCTTCCAAGACATTCTGAAGATCTTGTATAAATCCTACCTTCTTGGATTTTTTGTTACGTCATTATTGCTTTCTTAAGTCGATAATTGTAGAAAGTCACAAGCAAATGTCAAAAAAAATTGTCAAAAACCTAATGGTTCCGACTGTTGTTGCCATCGCTATAGAATTTCAGGTTATAACCTTATATGTATGTAACGTACGTCTGTGTCTCCAAGCCAGATGTTGTTAGAAAAGCGCCAGAAACATCGAAACATCTCCAGGTCCATTGCTTTAGTCAAGTTGTTTATTTTTGAAATAAAAAAAACTTACCTCGAAAAATTACCTCATTTCGTTGCCGAATTTTTATCCCCACTCATAAAGTGATCTGTAATTGTTCATTAATCATTCAAAGTTTCGTAAGACGGTAACTGTTGATAAAAATTGTATAGGGTTATCCACGAAAACTTTCCGACTTGAAAGCTCAATAATAAAATGATTGAAGGTTTCATTACAATATTAATTTTATTGAAAAGGACATTACCTGAATTTTTGTATCACTTAGTTTTAAATATTAAATCGGAGAAATGATGGCCCACATTCAGTTGTCTGAGATGATGTTCAGATGGCATCAGTTAGTAGATTTTGGCATCAGTAGTTCCGTTCAACTCGCGGTCTGTTGGCGATGGCTTGGCGCATGTTGTTCTTCAAACGAGGTAGATCCTTGGACAGTCATTGTAGGCCATTGATTTAAGATAACACCGTAAAAGAAACACTTCCACTTGCTCTATATGTGTTCACCCACGTAGCAATCGATTCCATATCAAGAACCGACCTGAAGGACGAATGCGGAATGCTCGCTGAGTAGCGATAATGGAACAGCCATTAGAAAAGTACGCCTCGAGAGCAAACGCACGCTGCTCACTTGTCCAATGCATAGTGGCAATTGACTAGGCGGGACACAAAACTTCATGACCTTGCCTTTCATCTGAAAAACACCCCGCCCTTTTCTAACAACATCTGGCTGCTTGGAGCGAAATACAAAACAGGAAGTTTTCGTGAATCACCCCGTTTGAGAGGAGATTTGATGGCTAGTATAGAGTATGCATGATTTCTTAAAGTTTTGGTAATTTCTGTCATTTTCAGTCTGTCATCAGTTATCTTGGTAAAAATCTTGGTCAGAATTGTTGGCTAACCATTCTCCTCAACTTCATTAAGTAGCATCTCGATAGCATCAAAAAATGTTGTAGTCAGCCTCATAATTTTAATTATTCATGTTGCTTAAAGTAAACCAATGATTTTTTTATTTGTGTTTGCTTCTTTAATATCGTTTACTAAATTGTCTGAATGTTATGAGCAGATTACTGAATTTACTTTGAAAATAAACCTGACAACATTTCTCAGACCACTGATACAATAAAGATATTTCAAAACTCAGTTGATTGAATGAGTAGCAACATTATCTGTCAATGTAAACTACATTGAATAACTAAATTTAACTAAATTTGTTCCTTCATATTCTATGGCTCAGGGACGTACGTATTATCAGGAATTTACTTGCCATATTTTGTCCTGTCGAAAACTCTTACACATTTTCATACGAGCGTCCTACTCAAGAGATAAGGTAGCCTAAATCTCATCCCCAACATTGTTTTTTCAAAATAAAATAGCTGTCTTGACGAGCTTTTGGGGGGACCCCGACCCACTTTTGTTAACAAAGACGGTCTGGAGGCTTCCTCCGAATTCGTATCTGTTGCCGTAGCCTCTACAGTGATTTGCCGGTCATGTTGGATCTAAAAAGCCAATGCGAGTAACGGCAGCTTCCAGCTTCAGTTACAAATAACGCATTTTGCTCTCGAGGTGACAATGGAAGGTGCAAGAGGTCGCTGGGAGACTGCGCCACAATAGCGTAACTGCGCTAAAATATGGCGTCAATTTATCAACAAATTAATAGCTAGAACGGGACGGTTGCGGAGGCTACCGTAAGTATATATCTTCATTTATGAAGTTAGCGTTTTACTTGTGTTAATTTTTCTTGCTAACGATAATTCCAAATCATTTGGCTCAGATCTCCATTTCGCTTTTTTATTTCTCTCTTGATAAATTTCAAAATTTGATTCTTTTATTCTTCTTCGACTTCAAGCGTGTAAATGCTTGTGGATGTCTCGAGAACGTTGACGCTCGAGTTAATTTGAAAAGAAATATTGATTCGAAATACGGAAGGAAACAGTTTCGTGTCATACGATTCGAGAAAAAATATTAACATAAAATTTAGCTCCGCATTGATGAAATACATGATGAGTAATAACTATAATACTTTGAAAAAAATTCATTTTAAATGCTTGGCAGCTAGATGCCAAGTAACATGAATTACAGCACCAAGTAAGCATCATCAGAAATCTACTGCATGGGCTCATTAACTGCTCTTTGTTTGAGCTCTGAATTTTTATCGAAATCATCTTTGTAATTTTTAATTTCAGTCAGTAACTAACAGAATCTTTTGGCTGTCAAATTTTGGCTCTCGCCGACGTCGTTTATTTATCAGTGGAGCTTCGTAGGAATTTTGCACCTGCACGATCAAGGCAACCACAGCAACAACAGGAATGAAATGAGGGAGAGAGGGAGAAGAAGGGTGAGAGGAAATGACGATGACGAAGACGTTCTTAAGGCGTCAGTGAACTCAGAGGCTGACGGCTCTGCTCGAGCCTTCAATGCTGCCGCCAGGCATCGCTTCAGCCTTGAGCTTAGCTTCAGTTAAGGCTATAATTGGACTCCATTACAAACCGGTTTATGAATAGTGCCCGCGAGTTGTTTTCAATGAAATGGAGTAGCTGCAGGTCAAGTGGACATTTTTGCATGCTTTTTTTATGCAAGTAATTTTTGAAGACAACTGTATTGAAGACTACTTTGCACAACGGTGCTCATATTCTTTGCAATTGGCTGCACTTTTTTGCAGCTATGCGCAACACTAGTTCAGCGGTGTGCTCAAAAACATCGCTTCTTGCTGCTTGTACTGAGCTGCTTTACGCACTGCACATCTGCGTGCCCACTGTACAGAGGTTCTTGTGTGTCCTGCGCAGCTGGGATAACTTTTTTTAGAGCCTCTTATATGAACTTCCCGTACTGTTACGCGTACTTCAAACCTATAGCGGCGTTCGTCATCTGCAGAGATTTATATGTACCGCATTTGCACGTGCGCTCTATTCACCACCTGCCGTGTTGACTGTACCATCATCACTGCAGTTTTCTTAATTGATTCATAACTCCGTGCACTACCTGCACAGGTGCGCTGCACCACCGGCGCAGGTGCGCTGCACCACCGGCGTAGGTGCGTTGCACCACCTGCGCAGGTGCGTTGCACCACCTGCACAGGTGCGCTGCACCACCTGCACAGGTGCGTTGCACCACCTGCACAGGTGCGTTGCACTACCGGCACAGGTGCGTTGCACCACCGGCGCAGGTGCGTTGCACCACCTGCACAGGTGCGTTGCACCACATGCACAGGTGCGTTGCACCACCTGCACGGCCAGGCTGGGTTCCCCGTTAGATAGAGCGGCGGAAACGGCTCTCCACTTAATGCCTCGACGGCCTCAGGCGCCGCTGTTTCGTCTTGTCCGTGTTGAACCTCTTCAGGTGCTGCCGGTGTTACTTTCGGTATTGCTGCTGGTGTTACTCCCTGTATTGCTGGTGTTACTTTAGGTTTTGTTGATTGTGATTCTTTCGTTGTTGTTGGTGATACTTTCGGTATTGTTGATTGTGATTCTTTCGTTGTTGTTGGTGATACTTGCGGTATTGCTGATGGTGTTACTTTCGGTATTGATGATAGCGTTGCTCGAGTTGCATCGCAATTGTTGCTTGCGTTGTTAGTGCAATTTTTAATAGAGTACATGCTGCAGTTGTTGCTGGCATTGTAGCTGCATTAGTTACTGCTGCTCCTGCCACTTGTCGTTTTCGACGTCCCTCTTTCTTTCTTTTTATTAATTGAGTTTTGTGTTGTTGCAGGTCGCAACCGTCTCACACGGACAGCTAGTCACAAAAAAGAACCGTAAGTATTCTCCATCAGGCAGTCCTTGTTTTTCAAAGCAGGGTTAGGTTCGAAACGAATGGACGCTTACAGTATCATCAAAAAAATGTGTATCAAAGATTCCGTTGATTAGACATCACTACAGCAATTATTATTTGTCAGCATTAGTATTACAGTAGAGTGTTAGGTCTATTACTTCATATGCCCGAAAATATTATTAATTAGTTTGTGTATTTCAAAACAGCGGTATATGGGATACTTGTTATGACATTAGTTATCATTAGTCAGCCCCTGCGTTACAAAGAGGTGTTGTGCCGAATACTTGTTGAGCTATCATTTATAACTCCTGTCAAATTTGTGTCTTAAATCACTGTTAAGACAGATATTTATTATGACATCAGATATGAATTCTAAGATGGCGTATGTCAGCGCATTGCTAAAATCCGATGCTCATTGAGAATCAGAAGTCAGCTTATGAATTGCACTGAATTTCAAGTCTGTTCTGTACTGGTGATTTATTATTACATCGTGTAAAATAAGTCTGTTTTTGCACATTAATGCAGAACTATGAAGGACTGTTTCATATCAACCAATAACGTCGAGTAAATTACAGTTGTTGTTAGTCGATGGGAATTTCAAAAATTCCAAATGAGCATTTAAATTACTGTAAATTTTTATTTTTATACGAGCATGTCATTGAGTAGAGCATATTGATGACACAGCAAGGAGCGATATGTACGTGACAGCGCCAGGTTTTAATCACTGCTCTGTCCGCTGAGCTGTCCTACTGCTGTTAACAAAGAGACCATCCGCGGTACTTTGGCTTCCTGACAATTTTGTGGTTCCGACAAAAGCTTTTTGTGCGTCGTTCACACTTGTTTCTTCCGGCGCCAATTTAATTCCGGTTGACACTGTTTTTATCACAAATTAATTTTGTGAACAATTGGCAGGCTAAGAGACGCAAAATACACTCACTCCAAACTCTAGAGACCGAACTTTGTTGTTGATAGCATTCGTTTACCTACGTTATTTTTTCTTGAGGCTTAGTGTTTTTTCGTGGTCTATCTTTGTTTCCCTGTAATTAGCTATCACAAATTCTCAACTCACTGGTTGACCGCAGCTCTGGACGCTTCCATCAAAGACGTGCGAATTTTCTGCAATAGCAATGACATCGTCGTATCTATCGAAGCAACAGCCAAGTTCAACGGCATGATCTACCCTAAGGGTTTGTCCAAGAATTCATCGTGTATGGCCGAGTATAAGGAACAAATAAATCCTGTCCTATACAAGTTACCTCTCAAGTCCTGCAACACCATGAGCGTTGAACTGGTAAGATCCATTCTGATATATTATTGAACAGTGCAAAAGAATACTAAAAGCTAACATTTTTTTTGTAATATCAACAATTCAATCGTTTTCTGAATTTCATTTCTTAATAACGTTAATTTTATTCTAATTTTCGCTCATCTCATTTTTATATAGTGTTTCTTTAGTAAAGACTTGTCTTTCTTACCATGGCAAATTGCGCGTTAGAACCGTTTAAAATGAATTTTCATGCCCGAAATAATTAATTATCGAGAAGATAGAAGTTAAAATCATCAAAAATATGTTTCCTCAGGACGATGGCATCGAATATTTCAACACAGTGGTGGTTCAGCCGCACCGTAAGCTGGTTACCAACCAGGGCAGAGGCTACCACATCCGCTGCAAGTACCAGACCCAAGAGAAGACTGTCACCAACGCTTTCAACGTCAGGTACGTCGAGCTTACTCTGTGTGTGTTTCCTAGTTTTCTTGCAGCCTCTACTGAAATTAAATAACTTTTTCTTTTTATTCTCACTCATTCCGATGCATAGAAATAAACTAAGTTAAGTTTAAAAAAGTATTCTTAAATGATTACGTTATCTGCATGGACTTTCACAATTTCCTGAGTTCGAGTTAATTTTATAAGGAATCTAGCTAGGGTGCGATTGACGTTTATTAGTACGCTGATTTATTAAGATTTTTTATGTTTATTAAATCGTTTATTTGTCCGATGTTTGAAGTTCTATGTTGTGAGCTCTATTACATCAATACTTTCTATTGCATCAAAGAGTTTTCTTAATTTTATGGCTGTTTTGAAATCTTGACCGTCATTCTAACCCGTGACATTCGTTACGGCTCGTAGGAATTCAGTGCTGTCAATGTGGAAAAGGAAAACCCTTCTTCCAAAGCGTATTATATTATAAAATACATGAGTGTTGAAAGATCTGGTAACCGCGTTTAGCCAGTTTTTTTTTATCGTGAGACTCTTTGCTCCCAAAATAATTTGTTGTCCTTAGAAATCGACAGTTTGAAACGTGAATAACAAAGTTCTGTTTGTCACGAACGGTGAATTTGTGCTGGACATACCTCGGTCATTGAAATTTTTCTGCGAAATTTCTTTTACGGGAGCTTCTTGTCATAAAGCCTTCTTAATGAAAGTTGTAAAGCACTGCAAAGCCTGTGGCTTGAGTTGTACGTACTTGGTGTGGATTGAATTACCTGTCGTTTATAACACTCATTTCTTGCTCCCTCGGCGACTGCGACCCTACAGCGACTTTAACGCCAGTCTGCGCTTGCCCGGGTTGGTGCTGGATTCATTATATAGTGTTGTGTCAATAACACCGATACTAACACAGAACACTAACTGGGTGGAATTCGCAAGCCGTTTTTGAACTAGATATTGTATGGATGACACTAAATTATTCTGGCTTACTAAATCTCCAATCAACGAGTGATGAAAACCGGCTCTTGTCATTCTCGCTATCCACTAACTAATAACAACTCACTATTCAGAATCACAGCATATGATCACCATTCACGGAAATGCGTATGATCACCTTTGCAAAGTTTAAAAATTTGTTGTCACCATTAATTATTGGCTAACGCGAATAATCATAACCGAGACCTCGTCTGTTCCTAGATTCGTAATCGCTACATACCTAATACGTACGTACATGTAAGCAATCCAAGCCAGACATCCTTTCATTGATGGTGCCATTAAAGGTGTAGGTAATTTGTATAGAATCTTCTACCCTATTGATGTGCAGCGAACATCCTGCTGTATCTCGCCTATTGTGCACATTGAAAATGTTTGTCCCGTTTGTGCAGCAATGTATTACGGTTCTCTTTGGGCTGTGTTTGCATCTACGAGTACATTACAAAGAACAACTTTATGCAACTGGCTGTAGATTTGAAAGCAAACCAATAATTATTGAAAAAAGTAATTAATACTATAAGGGCCTTTTTCCTATAGGCTGCTATAAGTTCCTTCAATCTCATTTATTAATTTAAAAAATAAGTACAGAGTTCCAGTTTACAAGATTGTGTTACAATGTATTTACATTTCGTACGGCATTCGGTCCAAAAGGCATCCTATTTTCTTTCGCATTGGTTATTTCCGAGGTCACTCAATTCTGTGTACAAATTACGCTTTTAACAGCTACCCTGACTGAAACATAACCATACGAATAATACTCGCAGTAGCATATTAGTTGGCTCGGTTTCTTTCAAAATCTATCACATATTGTTGATTATTCTTAAGTTTTGAATTGGGTTTACGTGTGGTTCCAAACTTTTCAACATCGGAGATCTCAAAACAAATGTCGGTTAAATTACGAATTGTGAAACCCATAGAATTAATTTGTATAAGTTTAAAATCAAATCCATCCGCTACGGCGTAAAACTCAAATATTTATTCATCCTGATATACTCATTCGGACATGCATATAATTAAGATTGAATAAATATTTATAGCGTATAGCTAATGTAGCAGCAAAAATAGACGTCAGACGAAAATCGTTAATTTCTGACGGGAGAATTATTCCGTAGAGAATAAATAAACGTATGATTCTTAAGAAAAATAAATCGCTCCGTAATAATCATTTCCCTGAATCATTTGCACCCATCATCTTGATTGTAATTTCACAAACGTCATACAAATTCTCGTATCGTAAAGTAACGGATTTTTATTTTAAATTATTTCTTTCAGTGATGCCTTCGGTGGTGACGGCAAAGAAGATCTGAACGGCACGAGGTGAGCCTGAACTCTGGAAGTTGAGGAAACTTTGATAGATTTTCTTGTGTTTTTGGACCAATGATTAGTCAATCGGACAGACAATCGAAATGATCCTCGTATTTTGGATAAATTATTTATACTGCACTGTTAGAAAAAACGGTGAAAAAACGGTCCCACTGGCGTTCTAGGGGCCGGTCGCCCCGTGAAAATAAACTGTTTCGCCGTTTTTGTCAGGTGTTTTACGGATTTCTAGTGTTAAATTAGAATAAAAACGGTGACACGGTGTTTCTTTTCACGTGCCGACTGGCCACTGAAACGACGGTAATACCGTTAACGGTAATTTTTCTACCAGTGTGTTCTGCTGTGAAATTTGTTTTCAATTGATCATATAATCTCTCTGGTAATCGCATGCCTCTTGAAGTGAGAGTAAAATCGCGATGCATGTAGAAAAAACGGTCCCACTGGCGTTCTAGTGGCCGGTCGCCCCGTGAAAATAAACTGTTTCGCCGTTTTTATCAGGTGTTTTACGGATTTCTAGTGTTAAATTAGAATAAAAACGGCTACACGGCGTTTCTTTTCACGTGCCGACCGGCCACTGAAACGCCGGTAATACCGTTAACGGTAATTTTTCTAACAGTGTGTTGTGCTGTAAAATTTGTTTTCAATTGATCCAATAATCTCTCTGATAATCGCATGCCTCTTGAAGTGAGAGTAAAATCGCGATACATGTCACTTGAAGTACACTGACGAGTTTATTAAATATATAAATTTTTTGTGGCAGTTTCCTGGGCACGACGCCCCTGACTGCCACGGCCCCCATGCCAGGCTGCTACATGCGCATCTTCGCCGGCGAGCCGTCGGACCGCCAGGTGGCCGAGAACGTGCGCATCGGCGATCCTCTCACCATGGTCATCTCTCTCGACAACCAAGAGATTTACGGCATGAAGGTAGGTTGTTCACCAGGAATATGTGCGTAAAAAAGTCCACAAAAGTGATCATCTCACCATGGTTATCTCCCTCGACAACCAAGAAATTTACGGCATGAAGGTATTGCTCGCTTGGAATTTGATCGTAAAATAGTCCTTAACTGACATATTTTCGGCCTTGGTCCTCATCGTACGTAATTTTTCGTTGTATGAAAGTAATGACCATGAAATGCCTGACATGGAGGCAACTCATGCATTAGAAATTTTCTGAATTAATTAGACTTTGAAGTTTTTAGCTTGTAATTGCGTCGCTCAGGTGGGAAATTTAAACTATTTTTCAGAAAAAGATAAGAATTTAAAAAATAAATAAATTTACATTTCTATCACGAGATGGCAACTCACATTTTTGGGGCTGATTTCCTACGAAATATCTTTACGGTATGTACTTTTTTCAGACAATATATGTCACAAATCATGCATTTCTGACATAGATTATATACCAGTGTTAAGATAACTTAATCATCAAAGAATAAGTAAAAACAAATAAGTTTCGAAATTAAACAAAATTTGGGAACCTTCACCCCTATGCATTTGCAAAATAAAATTTAATTCAGTAAGAGGTTAAAAAATTATTATGTCCTATTTTGCAGGTGACAAGTTGCTTGGTCAGAGATGGTCTTGGTTGGGGCGAACAGATGCTCATCAACGATCAAGGGTAAGAGATGTACACGTATCATTCTAATGAAAATTATATAGATACTCATAACTTCTTGGTTACTCTCAATTTGTCAATATATGGTGATTCCTAATTTCCTGAACACACAAGTTAAATAAAGATTTAACATGAAAATTCAGGGTATTTATAATATTATTTTCTTAGATAATTTAAAAAATGGTCACAACAAAGAATAAACTATGGTATTAAACGTGAATCAAATTTCACACTCTCTTGATATCGTTCATGATGGCCTGTACATGCATCAGCCTCGATATCCCAAGCAATTTCAACATTTCTTGAGTAAAATGTTTAGTCGGTAACAAAAACATGCATCCTGCAGCTGCCCTGTGGACTACGAGATTTTAGGGCCGTTCGAGTACAGCTCCAGCAAGACCACGGCAGCTGTACGCTTCCAGGCTCACAAGTTCCCGTACACTTCGTCAGTGTACTACCAGTGCAACGTGCAGCTGTGCATCAAGAATGCTGACGGATGTGCTGATGTAGTGAGTTTAGAAACATTCATTATGTTTATATGTGGTGCGTCAATGATTATACGGTGTGCATCGATGTTTATACGGTGTGCATCAAGAATGCTGGTGGATGTGCTGATGTTGTGAGTTTAGAAAGATTCAATATGTTTATATGGGGTGCATCGATGTTTATACGGTGTGCATCAAGAATGATGACGGATGTGCTGATGTAGTGACTTTAGAAACATTCATTATGTTTATATGGCGGGCGTCGATGTTTATAAGGTGTGCATCAACAATGATGACGGATGTGCTGATGTAATGAGGTTAAAAACATTAATTCTCTCTACATGAGGGTGTTTTGATGACGCTCGACTTCAAAATTTTAGCAATTTTTGAAATTGTATGGTATGTGGCGGTATGAAGTGTATGGACAGAGAGGTACGGATAATGGTCTGTGTGTCCTTAGTAAATGGATGACTTGATCGCTCAAATTTGTTGTTATAAATATCATTGATGTTCTGGCAAGAATGTGTAGCATCTCATACCTTTCAAATGAAACATTCATACTAACGACTATAGCCTATTTGATCTCGCGGTGAAATCTTTTTCACGATATTTACGCCTAACTCAGTTCTAGCAAGTATTTCGCAAACCATGCAGCTGTAAAAATTTTTATTGTGAACATCTCAATTTTCTGGATAGAAATTCTCAAATTATCTCCAGAAATCCCCTTTATAATAATTTATATTTCATATAAATTAATAATTTATATTTCATATAAATTAATAATGTATATTTCATATAAATTAATTAACTTAACAATTTTTTTTCTCTCACCAGCCGCCCGTGTGCGTCGAGGGTCAGAACTTGCGTCGTCGGCGTCGTGACGTGAGCGTCAGCGGAGACGGCAACCTGACGGAAGTTGAGGCTGAAGTTGACGAGGATCTTACCATCGAAGTGTTCAGTGGTCTCTACGTCAACGAAGAGGAGGAGGTTAGTAGCTGGAATATCCCATTAGAAGCTACATCCTAATCAGGCTGGTGGGGTAATGGACAGACGGTTCGGATGAAACGACGTTTCAGTATTACGTCAAAAACAACAGCTGAACTAGAATAGCGGTTTGAAAGGGTAGCATCTGCAAGCGAGCGAATTGGAAAAACTCGTTCTTTAGGAGTACAAACATGTATCGTAGAGATGTGAATTTCCGATTGTGCAATGATCCATTGCTTGTACTGGTTAGCTGTGATCTCATGGATACGCTAATAGTGGATTGCCACGCTGCTTTTAGTCAGGTTACAATTAAAATGATAAGAAACGGTTTATTACATTTCGTTTAAGCGGCTTGTGCGCAAGAAATGACAAAATTTCCTTACGACAAGACTAAGATCTAAAGATTTCACAGCCTAAAGTAAGATAGTGGAATATGACGTGGAGCACAGGATTACTTAATTACAAGCGAGATATAATCACAATAGAAAATTGAGAAAATCACATCTGAGGCATAAGATGAATTTGACGGAACCATGTGCATCGTTCATGGCACTTACCTAATAATCGGAGACTTGATGCGTGTAGAATGAAAGGCTGCAAAAACGAATGAATTGTTACACTGATGCATTGGACGTGCAAAGTTCTGATTAAATTAAGCTTTCTTCCTATCGATATAACTTTGCAGGAGGTACTTAAGCTTTAAGCCGTTTGCAAACGGGAGGACTCAGCGGAGCAATCAATCCGTTTGCTATCCAATATTCAATTTTGATAACTCGTGTGCAATGTGCCTTTTATCAGTAACTGCATGGATTATTTTTTCTTCCTGTTTGACATTGCTTTGCTAACAAGTATTTGTTGTACAGCTCCCCGAGCCCGACTTGCAGGGAGGTGTCAGTTCTTCGGCAGATATCCGAAAAGAAGAACTGGATGACCCCGACAAATTCTGCCTCTCACCAAAGACTTTTGCTATCGGCATTGCGATAGCCGGCCTCATCCTGATGATCGCGGTGATTGCGGCGATACTTGTGCTTATCTCCCGACGAAGGAGAAGGAAGGACGACAGCACCACTGGCTCATCGATCTATTCTGGCCCCTACACCAACACTGCTTATAGTCATTCTTCATGAACAGTGCTGCCTAATTCATTTAGTAGTTCTTCCTAAATGCTGCATTTCGAAGCCTTGTCTATGTTGTTGAGTGGACTTGAAAAGTCAGAATGGTTTCTAGGAGAAACTGGAAGAGCTCGCACGCACAAAACTGCAATTAAGTCTAGAATTATAGGAGTCCTCCGTCATATTTGACCAAAAAGTAGTATCTAACTGTAAGATTCCGCCGAGCCATTTTAAAAAGTATCCATGTTAGCATCAGTACAATTTCACTCTAAATCTCTTGCTACACGTAATGTTATGCAAGAAGAATTTTTATGTACCGACAATGTAGAATTTAGCTGAAATTTTACCCATATTTCTTACTGCTCTATCTGGTCCGAAGATATTGCGGCCAAACATCAATGCCCCTCAATAAATAATACGTAATGAATGTGGACTCAGGTTCAGAGTTTCGAGGTGCCTCCGGTACAGTTTGAGTTTACTGCGACTCCTCTTCTAGGAAGATGAAAGCTTCTTATGATATTTCCACGAGCTCTCTATTGCATGAACTGTCGCTTATCGGTTTACCCTTCGTAATTTAAATCTATCTGTTCATTTGTCATAAGTTAGTCACTGAGAAACTGAGTTATCCGCATCTTGAGTTTTGGTTCACGCGCATCATTGCGTATGACTCCGTCTTAACCGTGCGCTGCTGGAGGCGGTTGCCCTTGAACTACAACTGAGCTGATCGAATTCGCTTGGAATTATTAGTTCATAAAATGAATCTGCCCCAAATTACGTTTCAATTTTAAATAATTTAACCCCTTAATCAAGAAGCTAAATGTTTTCTAGTTATTTACAAGGTATAGTAAAGTTTGTGCGCAGGTTCGGCTTCAAATACGTCATTGTTTCAATTTTCTACGGATAGCTTAATTATTTTTATATTGAATTATAAACTGCGAGTATTTTACTAAAATTTGAATTGTTCACTCTTTTGAAGAAAATGTTTGATAACGCGTATCCATTACTCTTGTGCAGTCTATTTTTCTTACTGAACTAAAATTCTATTACTTTTTCCTAAATTTTTAAATAATTTCACGGGGTGTTTCCGATATTTTTCAATAAATTTTAATCGAAAATTTAGCCTCAATTGTATTATTTGTGCGAACAGCAGTCAAGAATTTATAGTTATGGGCATAGGAGTGAATGCCAGAACTTGATAAGCGGATGTCGTCAGTCGAGTAGAGTAGCTGCATAGCACCAACTTAGCCATTCTTAGTCTTATAATACGTAAGCATATATTGTTTTATTCATCTTATCATTGATACGGAGTGCAATAAAATTGAGACAGTAATGCTGGTAATTGTTTATACAACCTACAATGTAATAATATTAAAGTCGTCTTCTTTTATTAGTTAACAACCATTTAATCATACGCAAAGAAATGAGTGAGACTTTGTCCAAATAACAATTCATTTTTTTTTGCCCTTGTGTGTGGGTCAAGTTAACCCGCGTTAAAATTGGTATTTAAGTGCCCAGTGCAGAAAACATGTCTACATTTGGACAACCTGAACCAGTCATGCTTCTGAGTGTACGAGGGTAACCAGTTGCTCATCGACTATGACTAGGAAATTATTTAACAAGGATGAAGTTCAATAGTACAGGGAAATAGCAGGAATTAACGAAATGACGGTGAGATTATTGTCTCTTGACCCAAAAATCGACGTTCTAAAAAGAAATAAAAATAATTTCATGACTACGTTCTAAATAGCCTCATACGTGCCTCGTTCGTAAAACGTTATCTGTCAAAAATTTCAGTATTAACCATAGGTGATTCATATCTCAAAAAAAAGCTAATAAAATTATTTAACGGGATTTCAAGTGATGTTTAAAATTCCTTCTAAAAATATTTTCATGGTTACACGAATTCGGATGTTAACGATGTTTGCTGTATTGCAATATCAGGACAGGCACGTTATTTTTTTCAAAAGCTTGAAAGTACATAAAAAATAAGCAATAAATAAGAAGAATATTTTATAACATTTATACCAGATTTCATCATCAACAGATAATTTAAAGACGCATAATAACGCTTTGTCATATGATTTTCAGACATTCACACAATTGAATTTCATGAATTTAAAGTCTGGTTACTTTTGCACCGCCCCCGCTCCAAAAATTCGCTCCCTGCACTAAAAGAAATATGCAAGACTTTGTTACAAAAAATTGAAACACTTTTTTTAGCGCAACATTTTTAGCCCGACAAATTTTGGCCATACGTTGATTTATGATTTCACGACATTTCATGAAAGGGGGGCGGGGCCATTTCAGGGGGGGCAGTTCTTCAAGTAATTAGATAGGAACTAATTAGCTGCTGAGCTCTTTAAATATAGTGTCTACTTGAGTTGTGCTGCAGTTACGTGTTTAGTCTCATCTTAAAGCTGACATTCTGGCCTATCCAACGGTACCATTACCATCTCTGTACGTTGATTTATACGTTCACGACACTTCATGAAAGGGGGGCCGGGGGGAGTTCTTTCAGTAATTACATAGGAGCTAATTCGCTGCCCAGCACTACAAATACAGTGTCTCTATATGAGGTCTGACTCAGTGTGCCTCCGGGCGTTGTGCGGATAGTGTGCATGTAGTCGCTCCCATCATCCCTGAGTGGAAACAAGCTCCAGAAACGTTTAGTTTGGTATCTATGCTACATTGAGCGCATATTGTGGTGCACGCGGGACTTTGTCGTGCTCTCCTCAACATTCACACTTATTGTCACGGAAAACCTATCTCCTCCTAGAGTTTTGAAGCTACATCAATGAGACATACACCGTTCGATGCGCAACAAAATCATGTACAATTGAACACGGGCGATTTTCTAATTTCGTTATAGTTTGGATTTTATTCCGCAAAAAGGGGGGGGGGGTGGCGCGGGGGAAATCGAAACATTTTCGAAAAATTTACGAAAAATGCTCCCACACCCACAAAAATGAGAAATCCAAAAAAAAACCGCCGTGTTCAATTTTAGATATGGTCTTTACGCATCGAATGATATGTGTCTCGATGTTCTAGCCTGAAAATCCTAGGAGATAGATTTCTATGGTACCCCATTTTTGACCGTTTTCTAAGATTTTCACGTTTTCTTTCATTTTTTTCGAAAAATTCACATGAACAAAAAAGTCTTAGATTTCTGTTTTACATATGTGAACCAAGTTTCAGAGTTATCTGTCAGTAAATAGCCGAGATAAATTTTACCCTAGACGCTCTCTTTAACTTTAGTTTCATTGAAAGAAGAATCACTTATTGAGGATGAATCAAAACCATGTTTAACTCGGTAAAATTATGGAACAGATTTCATCATAGATTAAAAATAAAATACTATATCATAGAAACATGTACTGTATCCGAACTCATGCAAACTCAATCCTAATAAATTACAAAAATAATACAATGTACACCGCATGGTGAATCATATACTAGTTCAACCATGATTCACCGTGACCCACGTCTTTGCCTCTAAAGGTTCGTTATTTGATGCCGTCAATCTCTTTTTCATAGTTTGTGAATTTTCTTTTATAGAGTTAACCTTTCAGCGTCCAGCTGTACGTATAGGTCGCCTTTAAAAACGGTGTTTTCAATTTATGTATGAAGCTCATTGGTCCAATAGACGAATATAATGCCACTAATTTCAGGCCATGCCATGACCGGAAAATATAAATGTCGACTTAATTTGTTTAAATGAATGAATGTAAACAATCTGTTATGGATGCGACGCGGTGTTTTGCACTAGTAATAAAATTTGTCAAATGTCATTTCCTCGTGGACAGTCCGCCCATTTCCGCGTGGCCACGCGCGTCTCGACGGCAGCGAACAGTTGTCGGCTGATCGCTGAATTCTCGGCACTGAGTTGGCAGTCGGTAGTTGAGCAGCAGCGCGCGTAGCGTGTGGTTGTGTGACTGGTTGCTCATGAGTGCTCCTTTTTGGAATGGTGACAGGTTCCTAAAGTAACATGAATATCGAACATTTAAAGCAACATACATTAAAAATATGAGTCGATGTATCATAATCTGTTTGTAAAATTTATGTAATTATAAAATTGAAGTACTGGCAATCACTTTCCTGTAATATTTTCTCAACAACGTCGCATTGGTTTAATTATTAATAGGTATAAGCCGGTTAGCCAGTGACTTTTGTGAACATGTTTAATGGAATGTTTGGTATTATTTCTACAGATTTCTAGTCGAATAGAATAACCAAAGATTGTGCTCTTGAAGTAAAAGTAACGTTTCTTCACATGTTTTAGTTTACCTCGAGACTCGAGTCTTCAGGGATTGAATAGCTAGTTAAGTTGCTTGAGGTTCTTCGGCGATAATGTCCACTGATCTCATAGCTTGCTAATTGAAAACTTTTTTACATTCATGCATTATTCGTCTGCATTCCGTTTTTTTTTCATCCGTTAAATGCGTAACGAAACAGTGCGAAATGATGCCCAAGATAACCATTATGAAAGTAGTTTATGGAATGTCTTAAAAAATTCACATATTTTATAGTTGATTAAGAATTTTCCTATTTCTTACCTAAGAAATAGTCGGCAGAGTACCGGTACGTGTCACACGACCTCGAAATTTCTGAGAAGTCGAGCTGTCGAGTCACACCTAACCTTAACGCAGACTCATCTTGCCAGCTCAATCCAGCACCCAGGATGAAATTCTAGGAATAGGCTCTATATATTTATGTCGAACCAGCTGAGTCCTCAGCGCGATCGAAAAATATCAGTCAAGTAATAAGTGAATGTTCTTGTCTGATATCATCCAAGATGATATGTACACTCGTTCATTTATTACCCCTTGCAAGTTATACTGCGGGGGAGAGCAGCTGCTTCCTCATGCGACTTGCGAGAGAGTTCATTATTAATGCTTGGCAATGTTACATGTTTTTGGGACATGGAAAAAAATTATTTATAGCGTTTATTTAGTCTAATTTTCACACATAAGTTTCACCACTAAGCCTTGAAAATGGAAGTGCAATTAGAATTATGAAGTCTCACTAACATGAACATTTGTTTTGAAAATTCGTAGCGTATACACGTTTGTGAAGAAATTCACACGCGACTCTAGATTATTTCATGTAAGGATTATTTCAGGGCTGCAGGTTTTTACACACACGCTTTAAGTCACAGCGAAAGCAAGACCGTTCGCTATCTGCATGCATACTCGTGATTCAGCTGAGCACGTGAGGCTTCTTGAGCAGGTGCATCACTTGACTAGCAGTTGCCTGATCTTGGCACGTGTGATCTCGACGCGCCGCTGCCTCTGCCAGCTCTGTGCATTGGCAGGCACAAAGTGGTGAGCTCTGCGGCAGGCGTGCTGCTCTGCGTCGTGACAGGCACGAAGTGGTGAGCTCTGCGGCAGGCTTGTTGCTTTGCGTCGTGGCAGGCACGAAGTGGTGAGCTCTGCGGCAGGCGCGCTGCTCTGCGTCGTGGCAGGCACGAAGTGGTGAGCTCTGCGGCAGGCGTGTTGCTCTGCGTCGTGACAGACACTAAGTAGTGAGCTCTGCGGCAGGCTTGTTGCTCTGCGTCGTGGCAGGCACAGAGACGCGAGTTTTGCGACATTTTATTATAGTTTGGTTTTTCGCTGCGCGGTTGATAGCTACTAAGCAAGATCAATTGTTCGAGATGAACCACTGAAAACTTACTGTCAAAGTTGTTATTGCTTTGGTGCCTCGGATATTGTTTTCTGATCCTGCAATAAGCATCATTGATTATTTCTGCTTGGCCCAAATGCTAAGAGATAAAATGTGGAAAATAAATTAGAGCGAGTTGAACAAACGTGAGTTCCGTTTCAGCCTTTCCTCTCTCAAGGCCCTTGTCTGTGCCCATCCCACTTATTGGCACATCCAAGCAGCCGTGACCTTACTGGGCGCGGTGCTACAAATTCTGCCAGTGAATTGCTTAATCATTTTTTCACTGCTGGAAGTCAGGGACTACAGCCCAAAATCTTTTGAGTTTGTGATTGGATTTATTTGACTAGAAAATACACAACTAACGCTCTAGTTGACTAATTTTTGGAACTGTTGTGAGTTGTAGCTTAACATGACGAAATCGTGAAAGAGAGGCTGATGCAAGTTAGCGAAGAGGCATATGGAAATTTATGGAAGTTTCAGTAGTCAAATGCTATTCGTAAAGCAAAGACTAAGAAACCAAATGTAAGTTGGTTGTAGTTGAGACCCAGACTCAATTTTGCTGCTTTTTGTTCGTTTGACTGATAATTTACCACAATTTCCCTAAAATGTAATCTCTTCAATGTTATAATCTATCAGACACAGTCTTATCTCTGAACCTGCTCTCGTAGAGATAACGTGAAACTTCAGGGGAAGTTTGACAAAATATTTAGCCTCATAACATATTAATATTTAGCCTCATAATAAAAACATCTCATTTTATATTGAAAGACTATATTCTTTAGATTTAAGCTAGTTGGCTTATATCCATTAGGCGTTCGTGATCTCCAGAATAACTCCGAGACTCGATCATGCATACTAAATATAAAGCCTGATGTTGTGTTGGTGCGCACGAGTTAAGTGAGCCCGATTGTGACAATTCAACAGCGCAGTTTTCTATGTTTACACGCTCACTTCTTTACTGAGATCTTGTTGGGATTGCACTTGCATTGTGAGTACAGTTTAACTTCAGTGATAACACCTGAAATTTTTCCTCAAGTAAATCATCAGATCAGTCGTTCACTGAGCTTATTATTATTCTACAAAGACCGGAAAAGAGTAACTGCGGTCAGATTTTTTAAAATGTTCACGGAACGACTTTACAATCATGAATGTAGGTTGCAGCCTTTGTAGTAGATCCAAATCTCATTCTGCAAGTATAGCGCGCCTAAAAATAACAGAGCTGCTACAATCTGTCAGATCCAACTCAAGTGTCACACGGCAACGTTATAGAATATCGCAAGGAATCTTCTATATAATTCTGAGTGCCAAAGAAATGAAATGTTCTTATATCGCTCGAGCGCCTACAAAAGAATGCGTGTCTGATTTGCTTTCTGCAAAATGCGGATAGTAGATCTTGCGCACAGCGCTCTTGGTCAGTGCCTACGTGCTGCTCTTAGCGAAGCGCGAGCCACCTTTCCTACCACCATAGATTTTTGTAACAAATTATTTTGTTCATCAAGTATTATTTTAATTTCCCTTGAATCATCTATATGTTAAACAATTAACAAATAAGTAGTAGTCCCGCATGACTAAATTGTTAATCGACGGATAATTCCAATGATAAAGTGTGGACTAAAGATGCGTTATATACCCGAGCCTGGATCGATAAACTTCAAGTGCGATAAATCCAGAAATCACGCTTAACGTTTTTCCCCAAAAGCAAGTTTTGTGCTTAGAGGATATTCTAAAAAACACATTATGAAAATTATATATTGTCAGGATTTCACCGACTGGTTCTTACCATAGGTTCAGATCAACTTCAGGCCTCAGGCAGGAAGGCAGTGACAAACTTTTAGAGAGCTTTACTAATGCTCACTTTTTTTATTGTTTCTTATTATTTTGCATGGGAATAGATTAAAACGTCTCAAGTCTGTAATGTGCATAAAACTACAATGTATGCATATAAATTATAAAGCTATCTCTTATGAACCTGGTCATGTAGAGATGACGGGTAACTTCAAGAGAATTGTAAAATGACTATGTTTAGTTTTGTATGTCATCGAAACGTCCAATTTCCTCTAACTTGAGACTGAATGACGAGCACGCACTGACAGACTTCTGTGGAGCCTCTTTGATGTTCAGTATATAGATCGTGACTGCATGCTGCTTAATCCATCATCCGGTGGTATTAATTTAATAAGACACACGTTTTCATATTTAGGTTTCTTCCGTTGTTTTAAGAGATAATTAAATACGTCTCATGTCTCATTAAGTGTAGTTTGAAAACTTATCTAACACTCAAGTACTTAATTTAGGAAAACCCTGCTTGGTTAAAGCACTCCTGCTCTCATCAAAGTATGGGTACGTTGATAAAAACATAAGAATTTATTTTTGTACCTCTATTAAACTCACGGTCTGCGCACAGCTTACTTTGAATATCCAAGATGAATGCACGATGAAAATTATGGTTTAAACATTTATCTACGATGATTCACAAAGATTTTAGTCTTTTAGCATAAACGAAACTTTAGCCAAATGTGAACCCATCATATTCAGGTATTAGAATCCAGCAAAACATTTTAGTATTCATAACACTTATATCAATAGTAATAATTAATAAATAACTTCATTACCATGCATTTACGAGTGTATGGTAGCTACTGTCAACGAAACCACAGCTGCGTCGTATATGAACCCGCGCCCTCAAAGGAGCAGGCGGAAAACAATTTGTGACGTACGCAGTATAATTGCAGGCGCTTACAATGCAATGAGCTGGGGCACAAAAAAATCTACTTTAGGCCATGTAGGTTCATAGTCCAGCTTCTCAGGGGCTTTTGCGGAGGTTGCCAAGATTTTTTCCTATTATTTTGTTTCTAATATTTTTTGTTGTTTTAATTACAAAATTTTATATTAAAATCAAGTTAATTTATAAGCATGCGCCATGTAATTTCATTATGTTTTTATATCAATAATAATGAATAACGATTAATTACTATATTACGAGCTATAAATATTAATTACTTATTTTATTTATAATTAGTAATAATAATCATAATTAGCAATTAATTTGAAATCTATACAAAATTTTTTTTTTGCAAGAGCCTCGAGCTCGTTGCGTCGACGTTAGAAAGAAGGTCGCTGACGATGTGATATTACTATCTCATTTTGTATCTAATAATTACTAACTATGAAAACAAATGTGAGAAAATTACCATCTTAAAAGTTAACTGATTCCCGAAACACTTTCTTCAGCCTTCCAGGTCAAGGATGCTACTGCCTTTGCCGTATTTCTCGTTATTTTATCGTATTTTTTAGTTCATTTCAAGGTGACTGGAAATATTTTTATAAATTCGGCTTCTACTTGTTACTGTAGTGGATTTTGCAGTTCCTAAAAATTAAGCCGGTTGAAATTTTTTTCTTGAATTTATCTATTTTTGGGTTTTAAATAGCCTCGTATAGTCTTGTGAGCAATGCGTGTCTTATTTGCGTGGCAATATTTTCACGTGCATTTTTCTCCTTGCATGCGCAAATTAAGCTATGCCTTCCGTTTAGTTACCTTGTTCCGCTTTGAGACTCAAAGCCCACGTAAGTCCGAACCTCAAAGCACGTACGCTTTGCTCAAGGATGCGGAGGCCTATAATTTAAATAATTTAAACGAATAATGGCTAGCTAGCTGAAGGAAGCCGGCGCCATGCGTATCATGCCAACTTGAGTAATGATATGATATACGCATTGAGTCATGATATCTACGATGAAAGTGACATTGAACATCGTAACGTGCAGCTGATGATCATACTTCCGTAATCTATTTGATTTTACTCAAATTTTCATCAGGTGAACAACCAATAAATTTATTTTTTTTCACTGATTTGAATTTTTCTTGCGCAGCCAGAGATTTATTATCCTTAATTAGGATTCAGAAGAAAATATGAACTTCCCAAGCCTGCTGGTGTTAACAATTTCCCTGCATTTAGTTCTTTGTAAGCTCGTACCTTCGTCAGATTCAGCAGCTTTAGAGAACAGCAGGGCAAATGAAAGTTATTCTAACACAACCACCGATCATTTGGCAAATGATCTCGACATGGAGGAGGATTATGATTTTGTTTTGAACCTGGACGAGCAAGCAGACTTGGACCGCTTACTATCATTGCTCTCCCGCTCAGGACCAGCGAAACATGCTGACGAGGTATGTCCAACCTTTATTAGCTCATTATATTTGATTGTAATGAGTATATGTCTCGTTTGCTCACAAATAGATGAAGCTTTGGAAACGTTTTGTTGAGAAAATAAAAATTCTTGAACGCTCATTTTTAGAACTTTTCAGATGTACACAATTGACATGAATAGAATATTAAATAGTCCTCCCGCAAAATGTTAAGGGGATTTGCTTCAACTCGGTGCAGCATCAGGCGCTAGATTAAAGAATCCTGGCACATTTGACTTGTAAATTTGCATACCGAATGAAGCTTACCGCCAGAAAATTATGTAAAATTCTTAGTAATTTATTCATCTTTGCCATCTCCTACTCGAATTATCTTCTCAAAGTTTCTTAGACGACTTGATTGAACTCAAGTAGCGCCGCTTTGTTCACTTTATTGAATCATTAGAGGCAAAGCTGTGGCTCATCGTTCTTTATCGCAACTATATGTAATTATTTTTATCAACCTACTAAGACTGCTTAATCAAAAAAACATTTCTTTCTTTAAGACGAGCGTGGGGGTTTCGTCTACTTTAGCATGCTAGTCTTTAAATGACTGATAGTATGAGTAGTCATTTACTAGAGCCTGCAGTTTATGACTCATGTCCATAAATTTCGAATTTTCATCTTTTCAATATTTTACTATTATATTATTAATTGAAAAAGTGGATCTAAGTGTTGACTTCAAGTTAGTGTTTCATCAAACGCATTTGTGAAACAAGAAACTAAGTGCAGGTTGAACACCAGATACACTGTAGCGGGCCAGATATTGGTCCCGCTTTGTGTACTAGATTTGAAGCCGCCGCACTACTCGACAGATGACAGCAGAGAAAAATATACCTACTAGACTAACTGTCGTCGGATGTAGTCTGTCTCTAGTAGTGCCACTTCTTCATACCCATTGTTGTGACCATAATGAGTTTCGTCATCTGTACTTTTCAAGTGTTATTGTATTTTGAGTTTTCAAGTGATTTCTGCGGATCTCTTGAGTAGAGAGTAACCTGAACATCTTCCTTGGTCGTTTCAACCTTCCGCGAACCGTCGGGCCCGCTGGCAGAGACCTCAAAGTGTTTAAATGTAGTAGTTTCCCGCTACAGCACATAAAACTGATGATGTTATTTCAAACTTGATCTCTATTACATGATGCAATAAATGTAATCCATGATGTGCAGGTAGCGACACTCCTAAACACACGGAAGAAATCGATCCCGAGCAAAAGAAGCTTGAGGATCTTTACTTTAAGGACTTCGCCCCGGACTCCGAGGCGCATAGAGTAGTTTACCCTCCAACCAGCAGCTCCATCGCCATCTGTCCCGCCTCGATATCTATAACATTATTAATCTTACACTTTCTTTAGAGTATCAAGTCCAAATTTTCGCCCGTAATTAAGATTTAGCTATTTAGTTTTGAAAATTGCCGTGCAAATTCTTTTTTAGTTAATGGTTCAAAACTTGATGGGTATAGACGTCGAAGGATCAGACGATGCGTTCTAAAGTGCCTTATTACGAGTATCAGTGATCGACATGTGTATATAATTTATTACGTAATGAGTTTATTATCTCTAATGACAGAAACCGGTCTTATTGCCAATTTACGTTCCAAAGTTGATAGTTGTATTCTTAAATCTTCCACAAATGCGTTGCCCGTGCCCACGAGTTTCAGTATTATTATTATATTAGTATACGCAAATAAATTTGTAAGTATTTGGGCGGCGAGACTTTTTGTTTTAATTTAACGGTATTAGCAGTGATTTAATTTTTTCCTTATAATATAATAATAATACTGAAACTCGTGGGCACGGGCAACGCATTTGACAGAATACAAATTTTTACGTAGACAAATTTAATTGTGCAATAATATTAATTTAAATTTTAAAACTTGTGAAAGTTTCCCTAAAAGAATTGGTGAGTTGAGGTCAAGTGAAAATTAATTATTGTCTATTTGGTAACATTGCTGATTCAACGTCATCGGTTCATATCTTGAGATGAAGTTAAATTTTGAGTTCGTTAATTAATCTATATAATCTCAAACAAAATTAAACTTTTATGTATATTTTGACTGTCTTCATAACCGAGTATCAGACAGCCTTTGTAATGAGCCTGAGAATGACCGGCTTAAATCTTCCTGTTAAATTTTGGTTCACTTTCTTTACTATGTCAGGTCTGTTATACATTGTTGCTCCACTATTACATGTCAATCTGTTCTCGCCCCATTTGTGTATATAGCGATCAAGTAAGCCATTTCGTCATTCAGCTTTCAATTGAAAATTTCAATTTTATTCATATATGCAAGAATGGTCAAGCGTCGGTGCTTAAGCTTCATCAAATACCACTTAAACACAATCACAATTTTCAGCAAGGTTCTTATATATTGGGTTTTATATCATAATTGTTATCTATATATTCTCATATGGCCAGGAAGACTGCGTTTAATTGGTACGTGGTTGACACTCAGATAAATTAGCAGACTTTTTTTGAATAGCGATGCTACGTACAGAAAGTGTGTCACTATTCGGACAGTATGACACAGTTTGGAACTTACTCGTACACCGTAAAAAGTTTGCTTAATTTATTTGATGTTTGATGAATTTTCCCTCATGTTTTCTTGTAGAGTAATTGTGTTCTATTCGTGCATCATAAACAATATAGATTAACAGACTGCAAGTCTTCGCTCGACCCAGGAAGTTATTCCGTTGACATCAAATTTTCGTTAAATCGAATTAGAGCAAATATTATCAACGAAAAAATTAATGACTTTTTTAATTTTCATCAATTTTTTTCGTTAAATGAAATTTCATATGCGAGCGAATGAATGAATGAATACATTTTTTCGCAAATGATTAATTTTCAATGCAAAAGAGTCAATTTTCTCGAATGGCCAACTGGCTTGAGGTTAAAAACCATACGTTATCATCTCATGGCGACTTGACGGCATTCACGGCAATGAGAAGGAGCAACTGCGTATAATTAACGAAGAAAAACGTACGGAGATCGTCTGAAACGAAGAAGGCATTGTTGAACAGAAAGAGAAACGTTTCTACTAGTACGTCAGAAACGGAGTAGGGAGGAATCCTGACTGGACGATGACTTTAAATGACCTGACTCCCATTTAAATGGCATAGAAATTACTTTTTGCCCTTCGATACAAATACATGGTATGGCATGTATGTTTTGAACGCATCTGCGGTGGTGGTGGCGAACAACAGACCTGGTACTGCGAATCCACATGGACGTTTTACTCAATTTAATTTATCAAAAAATTAATTTAAAATGACAAAAGTAGACAGCCGTTAGCAGTATCTAACACATATTACTGATCAAAATGTATTGTGCCTGAATGATTTCCCAGATCGCTTGAATTTTTCATTTCTTTGTTATGTACCTGAAACACGAACGTATACTTCGCGAAGGGATCCGTCCGCGCCTGCGTTATGGAAGCAATTTTCTTCGTGATCGGTTATTTGTTTCTTAAATTACTCTGCAAAATAACTGTTCTCCAGATGCCGTAGAGATTTATCCATCTGTTCATTACTTGAGTTTTTCAACTTTTAGGAGCGTCTGCGCTATCAGAACGAAAGTAATACGTCTATTATATAATACGAGTATTATTATATTAGATTATAGAATCTTATTAATCGCCGTCAGGCACATTTAAAAACAAAACACGCATATTTCATCACAAATTTACGGTGGCGTAGTTATCGCGATGCAAAATTTCCACAATAATTTCTTCCTTACGTTAGTTGAAATCCAATGAGCAGTGCAGAGTTGCGGCAGTGTGGCGCTGTATGCGTAGCAAAATCATCATTTCTTTCATTCTCCGAACCTGCCTGCGAACTCGTCTGCAGACTCAAACATTCAACCTAGCTTATCGCTCAACCGAACCACTCATAACTCCTTCAGTACTAAATGGATCTGCTTGAAATTTGGAATATGAGTATTTATTATCAATACACTCTAGCTGTAGGGGAATTTAAGTATGTCCCGCTCCTCCTGCACAACCGTTGAGCCACTGTCGCGGTGGAACAGTTTCGTTATAATAATAACTATAATCCATCGAGTCGTTACTGCATTGCAAACCCCAAATAACATAATGATAACATTACATAGTGATGTCGGCGCTAAAGAGTAGGCCTGATTTGGCCTGTCGCCGAATCTTGAAGTTTTCGTGACTTGTTCATAGAAGATCTAAATCTTGCCATTTGACCGGATATTTTCAAGACTGACGATAAATGATGTTTACCACCAGAAAATTATGTAATATTTTTAGTAATTCATTTATCTTTGCCATCTCCTACTTGAATTATCTTCTCAAAGTTACTTAGACGACTTGATTGAACTCAAGCAGCTCCGCTTTGTTCGCTTTATTGAATCATTAGAGTTGAAGCTCTGGCTCATTGTTCCAGATCGCAACTATAGGTAATCAATTTTTATCAACCTACTAAGACTGTTTAATTAATAATCATTTGTTTCTTAAAGACGAGCGTGGGGGTTTCGTCTACTTTCATCGACAGTCACTACGAGCAGCTCGACAAACTTGCGCGCCCTCCCAACTCCCTGCCGTCCGCAGACTCGCCACATCACGCCGACGTACGAGGTATGACTCAATTACTTTTATTTCTACTGAGCGACGATAACATTGTTAATAATGCGCTCGAAATCAAAACTACAAACGCATTTGAACAGAATTGTGATTTGTAAAAGAAGAAATTATATGATGGGTTGATAAATAATAATTGTGATACGTGCGTTATCGTGTTGCGGAAACCATACTAGTCTTTAAATGACTGATAGTATGAGTAGTCATTTACTAGAGCCTGCAGTTTATAACTCATGTCCATAAACTTCGAAATTTTATTTTTCAATAATTTACTATTATATTATAAAGTGAAAAAAGTTGGTCTAACTTTACTTAAAGTAGTTTGTGGTTACTTAAATGCATTTGTAAAATAAGAAACTAAGTGCAGGTTCAACACCAGATACACATAAAACTAATGCTGTGATTTCAAACTTGATCTCTATTACATGATGCCAATTAATGTAATCCATGATGTGCAGGAAACGACACTCCTAAACACACGGAAGAAATCGACCCCGAGCAAAAGAAGCTTGAGGATCTTTACTTCAAGGACTTCGCCCCGGACTCCGAGGCGCATAGTTCCGAGGCATAGTAGTAGTTTACCCTCCAACCAGCAGCTCCATCGCCATCTGCCCCGCCTCGATATCAATAACATTATTAATATTACACTTTCTTTAAAGTATTTAGTCAAAATTTTCGCCAGTAATTAAGATTTAGCTATTTAGTTAGGAAGTTTGCCGCGCAACTTGTTCTTTTCTTTTTTGTTCAAAACTTGGTGGGTATAAACGTCGAAGGAAGTTTGACGTTCTAAAGTACCTAAAGTGCCTAAAGACGATGAGTCCTAAAGTTTTTTTTAGGAGTAACAGTGATCGACAGGTGTATAGAATTTTATTACGTAGTAAGCGTGTTTTCTCTAATGACTAACATTTGTCGTATTGCCAATTTACGTTCCAAAGTTGATGGTTGAATTCTTAAATCTTTAACGAATTCGTGGCCCGTGAGCACGAATTTTGGTATAATTTTTATATTATTATACGCAAATAAATTTGTCAGTGTTTGGGCGGCGAGACTTTTTGTTTTAGTTCAACAACGGTATTTGCAGTGATTTTATTTCTTCATTTTGTTGCGATGTTATATTAATGCGAGAATAAAAAATTTTTACGTAGACCAATTTAATTGTGCAATAATTTTGATTTAAAAACTTGTGACAGTTTACATAAACGAATTGGTGAGTCGTGGTCAACTGAAAATGTGAAAATTACATATTGTCCATTTGATTTAATCTCATCGGTTCATCTCTTGAGATGAAGTTTAATTTTTAATTCAGTATTTAATAACCAACAAAATTAAACTTCTGTATATATTTTTACTGTCTTCATTACCGACTATCTAACAGTATGAGAATGTCCGACTTGAATCTTTATGTTAAATTTTAGTTCATATTCTTTAAATGTCAAGTCTGTTATTCCTTGTCGCTCCACCATTACATGCCAATCTGTTCTCGCCGAAGTCACATTTGTGTAGAAAGCGAAGTATGCCATTTCGTCCATTCAATTTTCAATTGAAAATCTGAATTTCATTCCAATAAGCACCGATGGTGAAGCGTCGGTGCTTAAGGCCTCATCAAAAACCACATACGCACAATGACAATTTTCAGGAAGGTTCTTATACATTGAATTTTTATGTAAAAATCGTTATCTATTCTCATTTGACGAGGGAGACCGCGTTTAATTGGTACTTGGTTGACACACTCAGACAAACGAGTAAACTTTGTATAAATAGCGATGCACTTTTCGCCAATGAGCTGCCATTCTGACCCAGTTTCGCACGGCAAAATCGCGTATCAGTGCTACGTGCAGAAAGTGTGTCAATATTTGGGCAGTATGACTTAGTTTGGAACTTACTCGTACACCGTAAAAAGTTTGCTCAATTTATTTGATAGATTTAAATTTTGCCTCATGTTGTTTTGTAGAATAATTGTGTTTATTCGTTTATCTTAAACAATGTAGATTAACATATTACAAGATTTCGCACGACGCAAGAAGTTTTTCCGTTGTCATAAAATTTTCGTTAGAATCGGTGTAGAGCTACTAGTCTCAACAAAAAAATGATAACATTTAAATATTTTCATCCATTTTTTCCGTTGAATGAAATTTCATATGCGAGCGAATGAATGAAAATTCATTTGGAATACATTTTCTCAAATGATTAATGTTCAAAGCAAAAGTATAGATTTTCTCGAATGGCCAACTGGCTTGAGGTTAAAAAAAAACGATACGTTATCATCTCATGACGACTTGACGGCAATGAAAATGATCCACTGTGTAATTGAAGAAAGATATTGTTGGGAGGGAACAGAAACAGCAACGTTTCTACTAGCACGACAGAGAAGGTTTACGGAAAAGCAAGAAATGCTAAGCTAAAATGATATAAAAATGCATAGGTTTCATATAATGATTTTATATTCTTAAGCTTAACGCTACCATTTGCATACAAAATAATCCAACTTCGTGTAACTTTTATAGACGAAAGTCTCAGTAATTCGCGTTAAAATATACGAAAATATTCTTAACGTTGCGAGCTCATCGTCGATTTATTTATTACTTATTGCAAATCGTCTGCAAACGTCAATATGATATAAATCTTTTGTCTATAATAATAAAAAACTCTATAGTCCATATTGACCTAATTTTAATTTTACGATGACCGTCCATGCGTAAACATCTGCTATTTGAAATTGGGCAAGAAAATGTGAGAGTTATAAGAATTTTGATATGGTAGTTTTTTATGAGTCCTTTATGGCAATGAGTATATATTTTATAATTGGTGAGTCAGCGCTTCTATAGAAATGATTCTTCCAATTAACATTATTTTGCGTGCGGCTGGGATATTACTATAGAAGTCATGCGTCCAGCTGCTTTGACGACACTCAGGGCCGACCAGTTTCCTTAATCATAGATAAAACGATGAAAATTTTAGCTTACTCTACTCTCTAAAGTCATTGCAATATTTAAGGTACTAAATTTTTAAAATATCGATGCCCAGAAAGTACTCGTTTGTCACGAGTGTGTTTGACTTCAGAATTTAATTATAGACAATAATGTTGCAATTCAGGTCTCATAGAAGCTACAAGCATTGTTGATTAAAGATAATTTGTTTATATTTGTAAGTTGGTCAGAACAAAACAAATCCGCAGGGAAGTTAACGAGCGTCGCACTTCACCCTCCGAACGTGATGGGCACTCGAGTGGCCGGCCGGCGGTCCAGACCTGGAAATATTAGTTAACTTTATTTGGCTGTATCATGGACTTAAATATTTAAATTAAAATTTGTAAATTAAAATTAAATGTCAAAAGTTTATAAGCACACAATACAATACTACCAATGTTTATTTATACACGAACTGAGTTGATTAACTTGAGGTTGGGTCCTGTGAGTCTGTAGGTTTTTTTTCCACGTGTTCATGACACGTCAAGTCTCTCGAGCCAATTTACGATTGTATGCTGTCATTTAAACCTTTGTTATTCTAAGTCATAGATGCGAATCGTAGCAGAGTTAGCTTTGTAAACATGTATGGAATTTGTAATTTTTTAGTTTGATAACTATTATTAGAATAATTCCTTAATCATCTGTCGATTTATTTAATCTGTTGTTATCGACAACACTTAATCTGTTGTTAATTATCGCTGTTGAAAATGTTGTTAATTTTCGCTGTTGAAAATCTGCTCTGGTTTGACTCACCGGTAGCGAACGATGGGAGTTCAGAGAGTCGTAATCGAGCCGCAAAGTTCACATTCGTGCATCTGTGAAGAGAAATAATTAAGAGTGATTCCGTCAAGGTATACAACAGATATGTGACACAAATACAGATCTCGGCTGAGGAAAACTCAAAACAAAAATCAATATGTCGGACTTTTTTTGAAAACCATGTTTGCTTCCTGAAGTTTTAGATGTAATATGTATGAATAAGGCTAAAAAAGATAAATCACTGTAAATCATTGAAATTAGATCATCATCTTCTTAAATCTTCGCACTTCATGGCTAAGAGGCCAAAAAATTAGTTTAACTAATGAACGCGAACAAACAAATAGCTTCAATTAAACTCGAGTTTAGCATTCTTTCTCACAAAACGTGTTGCTTTACTTCTAACCATCCATTACCTACAAATTTGTGAGAGCAGAATATGAATGTATTCTAAGAGTACCTTACCCCTCACAAGTGGTCTGTGGCACTCTTCTCTACTGACTATCGAATTTATGTTTTGAACGCATTCTAGATAACTGCATTTTTCAAGTGAAATTCTGTCCATGAATTGGAATTTATAGTGGTTGTATCATAACTTGAATTGCTAATTATGAATGCAAAAATTGAGATCATTCCTCAGAGATCTTCGGGAACCACCAGGTCCCGCAGTTAGTCCCACCTATAACCCGTTCTACAGGTGGGATCAACTGTCGTGACTAGTTCTATTCTCACAGTCTATCCTACAAGAGTGATCTACTATCAGGTAGACTGTATGTTCAGCTTTTCTGTCGTGACAAAACTACCAGCGATCTGTTCTGAAGATCTGATCCTACTTCCTCTCACCTAGAGATGTAGTTATCATTCCCGCAGACGTGAGTCCTTCTGGTCTCACCTGCAGAGATTGTGATCGTATCGTTGACCAGTGCTGCAGGTGTCCTCTGTATAGCAGTAGCACGCGCAGTCTTTTTCGCTCCAGTAATGCGTTCGATTTTTATAGCTGCACTTCCTCTGCTCATGCCTGTTAGAGTGAGGATACGAATATAAATCATGTCGAAAAAACCAATTAGTTCATTTTTAGTAGCACTTCGGAGGCTATTCTGAATCTACATTTACTCGATTCAGACTCATTTGTCTGCTTCTATTTCAAATTGCGTCATTAGAATAGAAGAATAGAATAGAAGTGTCGGCACTGAAGAAATAGGCAAATGGCCTGTTGCCGATTCTTGTACTTTTCATGATTTTATTCCACAAGGGATCCGGCCTTTTGAACCCGATCTTTCCATAACTGACGATTGTTTGAGATAGCTGCTGGACTTATTGCCTGGTCCGTAAGCTGCTAGGCATTTTAAGACTGAACATATGCATCTGCATAGCTTCGTCTAGTCTGTTCTTGAAGGCGTTCATACTCGGAGCGTCAACGATGCTATCAGGGGGGCTGCTCCACATGTCGGTGACTCGAAGCAAGAAGAAATGTTGTCGCATGGATGTGTTACAACGCAGTTTTCTTAGTTTATAGCCTTGCCCCTGGTGTTGTTCTTATATAACATTTTACGACTCCTACTGGGACCTTGTGTAAACCGTGGGTATACTTGTATACTTCAATGAGGTCACCACGCAGACGTTGATAACAGTCTTGGAATCTTCATAATCTTTAATCTTTCTTCATAAGACTTGCCTTTTAATCCCGGAATTATCCATTTTACCCGTTTTTGAACACTCTCTACTAAATTTTTGTAATTTTGGTGGTGACCACACGGCGTTTCCAAACTCGAGGTTCGGACGCACGACAGAGATAAACAACAGCTTCATCGCTTCTGCATCTATATACATATAGGTACTCGTATAAGAGCGTCTGATCAGCCAGAGTCGTTCATTGGATTCATTAACTTGAGCGATTAAGGTTCGAGCTGAACTGAGAATCAAGTTAAATTTGCGAGCATTCATTCCTGCAAGCCTCATGATTGTATGTATATTCCAAAGCTGTTTCTCTTCTGGAGAAACGAGCAGCACTTCTGTACAGCTAGTGTTCCATTGCTTGATTAACTTCTACGGATGAAATGATGTACGGATGTACGGGATGAAATATTTTATTCGCATATGGGGCTGGAAAACTGTAAAGAATCGCTTTGACGGTCATAGACCAAGAAATGACCAAGAATTCGAAGAGAAGCCGGAATACATCATGCGTTTCTTTACGAAGTAAACACAAATCATTCATTTGTTGGACGTCAAACAAGATTGAAAAGTTGCCAGATGCAAACAACAAATTCGATGGTCTAGACCGTATTTTGCACCTTTCTGACTGCCACAGACTTACTGATTTTTGCAGACGCAACTACAATCGGTAGGGTTGTAGTCTTGAATTGCCCGGTTACAGTCCTGTTCCTGGATGCGACACTGGCATTCACACTGGTTGTGCGCCTCTTCTTCTATTGTGATGTAGCTGTACAGTAATCATTATATTAATTGCGACACCATGATCCGGGGCCAGGCAACGGTAGGGACATGAAAGAATTAACGATATTTTAAAACATACTTCGAAAATATTTAAGTTCAAATCATATACCTTGAGGGTGTCCAGCCGGGAGGGAGATCAGGGTGCGACGTTGGTCGTACGCGCCGCGTGCGCCCAGGTTTCCCGAGGAAACCTGGGCGTTCCCGGACGCCGGCTGAACGTCCCGAGGAAATTAACTTCTTCGCCCGCATAATCTGCTTGGGAGGAAGACCCGCTATGCAACATGGATCAGAAGTGGCAGTAAAGAAATTTGCAGTGGGTCATAGAGTACGCGGTCGGCTTTTGAAACTTCTTCATTGCTGCTCGTTTTGCGAGGGGCAAACGACTTTTCGTTCATTAGCCGATAATGATATTCTTTGAATTTTCCTTCCTTAACTTGGATCTCGCACCTTGAAGGAGACCGTGCTGGTGCTCGTAGGTCTACACTCGACCAAAGGTCCGTGGCAACAGCCTCCACACCTCGGCAGGCGCACGCACCGCGGGACGATCATCACGTTGAACTCCGGCTCGATCTTCAACATCACGGTAGTGTTCTCAGGCGTGCAATAGTCACGCAGGGCCTTGCTTATTCCTGGCAAGCAATACAAATATGATTAAATGGTATAATTTTCAAGTTTTTATTTACAAATACAGGTTAGCCCAAGCTTCGGTTCGACGACGCGACAGGAGCTTGCACAGGTCGCCTCCGCCGGCCCTGCATGGACTGCGCCACCGCGCCACTAGTAATTACCGACATCATCTCATCTGTAACAAGAGCATGCGGCTTTGATGTGATAGATTAATCCGTGCTTATTTAATATGCTGTTTTATTGGATATTTGCTTGATATGCACGCGAAAACCACGTTACTAGTTCGGGCCTTCGGTTTATCAATGGCATCCCGACTGTCTGAACCGACGGCAACTAATTAAGGAGCCCAAAACCTACCAAAAGTAATTGTTCAGGATTTCCGGTTATTCCTTGCATCGGAAACAAATTTAAGGAACAACAGGGAGCTCAATCTCATTTAATTTACGCGCTGTCGAACTATCGAGTAAATACTTCGGTCCGTTAAGGAACGATATATTCTTCGAGAAATTAAAAACAATAAGTTTTGTATTCGGTTTGAGATTCTGTGGACTAATGAAGATAAATTGATTTACTCCGGAAAAGTCAGACTTCGTCAGAAAATTTCGTTTTCATCCGTCAAAAATGGTCGTTCAGTTAGAACCGTGTCTGACAATATTGAAACTGTCAAGGAACGAGTATACATACAAAACCAACGACAATTGTATCAATGTATTGAACACAACATCAGTATATCATAAATTGTATTTCATTTTCGGGTTCCCAGCTTCTTTTTAGTTGCAGTATAGCATTTATAAAAATTGATAAAATTCTTCGATGCACGAATATTGAATTTAACCCTTTACGGCCCAGGTGTACCGTACGGTCGCCTTTCAAACATACTCTGCAGTAATAAAAATGTTACCAGAATTTGGCGCCAGTAGCTTTGAACGCGTTTGTTACGCGTCCCTGTTTCGTTTTGGTGGTGCAACAGTGCTCCGTGCCGCCAACTACGCAGTACAGCACTGAACTTGTTGAGAAGCTGTGGTGCGATTTTTTTCCTGAACTTTCATGATCTTTATTGGACCATGGCTGGAAACTCGGGTGAGTTGTAGGATAGAGATAATTCTATGTATGTTATAGTGCTATAGGGAGTGCAAATGCAGAATTTAGTGTTAAAATTACAATTATATACCATATATTTTACCATGTTTCCAAAGGCGACCGCTCAGTACAGTTGGACTTACAACTGCTCTGTTTAAAACGCGACCGGTGAGTCAAGTTAGTGCTATGAGCATACAAGTAAGGAGTTGTTATGCAAAATAATTGTGTTTGCATTACTATTCTTTGATTTACTGCCTTTCTAAATGTTTTGATCATCAAAACATGAAATCTATAAATTATCTGGCACAGTTTTCGAAATAAATTATCATATATTTAATTTATTTATGGTGCTATGGAGGTGCGGGAATTTTTTATAAGCTTCCCTAAATACGTACCTACTTGCTTTCCATTCACGGGATTTACTTTAATCATGTGTTTTTTGAAGGCATATATATTATACAGCCAATATTCAGTAACCCCCAGTAATAACTTCTCATAACATGGACAGATATCGCATTAGTTGAGTTTACCTATTTGATATCTCTATACACAGGCCTAGGGATCAAATTATTGTAGTGTGCTCATCATATTTTTTTTGTTTTTCAGAATCCTTTGCGGGCTTCAGTACAAAACCTTTTTTTCTTCAAGAAATCCTGCGAGTTGATGTGAACAACATCTGGCTACCTCATACTCCAGTGAACCTGAAGAAGACTCAGAGGAGCCAGAGGATATTTTGGACCCACAGTTCACAATAACGCTAGAAACAGGTTCAGATAGTGAGTTTGAAGAAGAAAACGAATCGCTCTTGATTGAAATTAACAGTATGGAAGGCGGGGAAAACTCTCAACAACGTAATAGAAAGGCGCCAACGAGAATATTTTGGAATAAAATTGAAAATCGTCGCTCATCTTACGACATTCCTCCATTTTCTCATGCTCCTGATGTTGACACAGTTCTGGAAGCTCCTCTGACTCTTTTCAAATCCTTCGTTTCCGATGATGTTATTGAAGAAATTTGCTACCAAACCAACTTGTACGCAATGCAAAAAATCCGTCAAAGCCCCTCAACCTTACCCCATTAGAATTATCGCAGTGGATAGGGATAAGCATGCAAATGTCTATTACTAGGACGATGCATACACGACTTCATTGGGCAAAATATTCCTTGAATGAAAAGATATCTTCCGTAATGTCTCGCAAAAGGTGGGAAGATATCAAAGCTAATCTTCATCCTGTAGACAATGACACTTTGGATTCAACGGACAAGCTAGCGAAGATGAGATTTCTTTTGAATGCCTTACGCGAAAAATTCAAAAAATACCAATGGAAGAACATCTAGCTGTGGACGAACAAATGGTTCTCTTCAAAGGAGCTTCTTCACTGATGCAGTACATTCCCAAAAAAAAACATCAAAATGGGGCTATAAGATTTTCGTCTTAGCTGGTACCTCTGGTATGGTGTACGACTTCATTCCCTACGTTGGCAAAATTCTTCCGGTTGCACGCTCCGGAATTCCTGACCTTGGTGCAAGCACAAACTGTTCTTCAGCTTGCCGAGTGCATTCCTGAAGTAAGACACTATAAACTCTATTTTGACAACTGGTTTTCATTGGTGAAATTAGTTGAGCACCTTGCCACTAGGAAGATTTGGGCATGTGGTGCCGTACAGGAACGCAGATTGGCTGGATTGAAATGAAATTCATAGAAGACAAGCAGCTACGAAAACTCAATCGTAGTGCCTTTGATGAGCACGAAACACGAGCGGGAAGTAGTGCTATCACTGCTGTAAAATGGAATGACAGCCGGTCTGTTTGTCTATTGTCCAGTTTTGTGACATCGCACCCTGTAACTGAAGTCAAGAGATTCGACAAGAGAAAACGAGAGTATACAAATATCTCAATCCCAAACATCGTATCGACCTACAATAAGCACATGGGTGGAGTCGACCTTCATGACCAGATGATGTCATACTATAGAATGAGTTTCAGGTCTAAAAAGTACTACATGAGATTGATCTTCCCCATGTTTGATATGGCTGTCGTGAACAGCTGGCTTCTGAGACGCAGAGTGGAAAAGAAACTAAACACTCCATACCGGCACCTGACTTCACTCTGTGAATTCAAGCTGAATCTTGCTGATTCACTCATGTTTGTTGGTCAAGATGTAGTGAAGAAAAGAGGGCGACCAACTGAGGAAACTGGGCAGTCCGAATTTGCTAAGAAGAAAGCAATTGGCCATGCCTCAAAACCAATTCCTAGTCAGTCACGTCGGAAAGATGGGGTCGGTCACCTCCCTGAGATTAATGAAAAGAAGGGAATGTATAACAAACTTCCTAAATGCGCAGGACATGTAGTGCATGAAATGCAAAGTTCCCTTTGCTGCGAAAAAACACGAAATTGCTTTGCAAAATTTATTCTTGGATGCCAAAATACAATATTTTTTTCCAATTTCTTGTAGTTTCTATTATTTTCAGCAAAATCAATCAATAAAAACGTTATAAGTAAACAAACTTTGGAATTGCATACATATTTTACGCTCATAAGACCAAATGGATTGTACAGTCGCTTTCGATGTTGTAGTCTCGTAAGACCAAGTGGACTGAAATGCCGCCTTTATTTTTTTTCAATAAACAATTTTCAATATACTAAACTCATCTTTAACCCACTTGGTCACCATATTAACAAGAAACTACCGAAAAAAAATTTTTGCTTGCTTTAAAAAATGTGGTCCATAAAGCGTAACACGTTTCGTTCATGGAGATGAACACGAATCTTGTGTATCTTTGTTCAAAAACTGTCATATATGTATGCATTATATTTTGTAGATTCCGTCCAAGAGTCAGTCCTAACCACCCTACAGGGTTGAGTGAAGTGACAGTATAAGCTGATACTCTTCAGTGAAACATTTTACAGTATGGCCCTCTGTGAAAGGCTCGTACAATAATTTTTATGATATTGAAGAAATAAAACCATATGTATTGCTGAACAAGAAGAGGAATTGAAAAGATGGCCAAATTAAACTTCGTTTAACTTAGCAACTTATTTAATTCACTTATTTAAGTGCCTTAATCCGTTAAATGTTTTTGGAACCCGCTACTCGATAATCAACCCAAAATCTTTTACTTGTTTCCTTGTCTCCAAGTTGTAAGCAGTTTTTAATGGCACATCAATCGTACCAGTCATTATTGCAGGCGTCAACTCCTGATGCTAAACTGAGCGCAACACTTACGTCTGTCCTGCGCTGCCGCTGTCCCTGCGACTGCCAGGAGGCAGAGCGCCGCCACGCACTTCCAGGAGCCGTCCAATAACATTTCACTCGTCCAATAATGTTCAGAATTGAGATTTAATAATTTCTTGCAGAGACCTTCACCATCTGAAATAAATATTTATTTTTCTATTAGCGCTATAAAATTGGGGTTAAGTCATCCGCTACCAATATTTAAAGGAATGAAATCGTCAGCTATCTATGTACAGTAAGTAATTGTCGTAGCAGTTTTATATAATTAATCGCAACATTGCGTCTTGCGATGCTGCCTGTGAAACACTGCCATGTATACTGTGTTCACACGCTATGAGCTCTGGGCTTATATTGTGAGGCGGGAGACGGCGTTATTAACTCTCGCGCTCCCACGTTCAGGAAATGACACACGACCATTGCTTCTATAAATGATGCAATGAGTTTCCGTTATCTTAAACGTTGCGGGTAAACGATTTTTTGCGTGTGAGTAGATCAGAATTGCGACCGTAGGCCTATTTTAGCCGAGCCGTGTATAGCCTTTATAGAAGCTCTGAGGGACGATCTCGAAAGTTTCAACGTAACGGCCTATCTATCAGAACGTAACTTAAAACACCTGTAACATCATATAAGCATATTTTGGTTTAAAATCTAGCTCAATATACTAGGAAACGCTCGAGTTTCTGAGTATATTCTATTTATTGAGGGCACTACTAACAATAGGATCTTTGATCCCGCACAGGTGTTAAAATTTTTATTAACTATCGCAAGTTCTGTGAATGTCTTTCGTTTCACATTCGATTTGATTTGTGTATACATCACTGCACTTAAAGAATTTTTTCAAGTAATTGGGCTTCAGTAACAATAATTACGGATCAGCAGGCCTCATAGCCTGGGCTGCTCCTGATGCTGGTTTTACTCTCACTGCTTCAGCCAAGCTCCAGACGCAGATGCGTATCAAGTCGCCCAACTGCTCAAGCTCACCTTAAATCTCCGAAATTTGAAAAGGACAAAAATTTAGTAGAGAGTGTTCAAAGACGCGCAACAAGGATAGTTCCGGGCTTGAAAGGCAAGTCCTACAAGGAAAGTAGTCACGAAAAGTTCAAGAATCGGCAACAGGCCATGGGCCCATTTCTTCAACGCCGACACTTCTATTCTATTCTATTCTAAATTCTATGTGGGATTTATTTTAAATGTAAAACATATACCCTTCTTGCATATAGTCCGCATCGGGTATTATTCTGAAGATGTACAGCATGGTATGAGTTTGGAGGATGCAGTTATGAAGTAAGCATTCGAGCACTAGTACTTATAAGATTTCATATTGATACCGTTTGGGGGTGATGTTATGTTGCCGTTGGCGCATTTTGTAAATCTTTGAACCTGCGTTTTATATTTCTCTGGTGCCGTTATCAATGTAATAAAGTAACGTAAACTTTGTTATCCTAACCAAATAAATTAAATTTAACTATATTCATGCATGGCATACAAATAATTTAGTCTCTTTTATGGAAAAAAGGGGAAATGATGCAAGAATCATGTAAGTTGTATTTGTTAGATCATGATGTTTGCGCCGGAAGAGCGTTAGCGTACGTTGACTGGCTCGTAACATGGTGCAACCGAGACATTTCGGTGGCAAGGCGACGTCCCGACGTCCCCATATTGTTTTATATATTTGCTAGATCCTGGTAACTAAGAATTTTAATGAAGAAAATTTTTTGTTCGTGCTTGTATTAAATCAGTTGCTAAGGTGCTAAATGTAAAATTATCACACGGGCAGTGAGATCGAGATAAGAATAACTTATTATCACGACTTAGATGAGAAAAGAATGTATTCTTGCTTTTAAAGCATGCCGAACTAAAAAAAATTCTGAAATAAGTTAAAAAAACTGATCCGTGAAAATACGTTTTTCCAACTTACTCCTCGAAATCAATATTTTTTCATTTCATCTCTTCATCTTAAAGAACGCCACTAAATTTGTATTAACGGCATCATTGAAAATAATATTAATCTCAAGGATACTTTATCAAACTCAAAATTAGCATGGTTAATTATTGCAGCTATTTATGACAAATTTAGAAGTAATTCATGGATCAATTACTATGAAGTTATGGCGCTCACGAGCACGTACAAGTGCGGCTCTTACGTACGGAGCCAGTGATTGCGAGTTGACGGCTTGTGGCCAGTAATATAGAACAGAATTGAGAAAGCCAATGCAACAAATAAGAAAATTAAAAATATACGACGATAGACGGCTTCTAACGACGCACTGGCGAGTGGCGGGCGCGAACGAGAAGATATCGGCACATTAGACTGTCCTCGTGTACAGGCTTACTTGCCGGATAGTCATCAATTAAGCGACCGACATTTGCCAGATGTACTTGCCGCCTGCACTGTCCCCGTGTACAAGCACCTTTAGGTAGTAAACATCCCTTTTAGTTGAAAACTGAACAACAAATTTCTTGACACTTATCTGTCTTGACACTAGAAATAATTCTAATTTTGGAATTGCTCGGATTATGGTAATCTTCAATTTGTTCTTGATATTTTATTTAAACTATTTAAGACTTGTGTCGTATTTTTTTGCATCCCTCCTCGGTTACGTAATTAATTACTTAACATAACATAACATAACATAATGATGTCGGCGCTGAAATGTAGGCCTGATGTGGCCTGTCGCCGAATCTTTTCCTTTTCGTGCCTTGTTCATAGATCTAAACTCGTGTCATTTGACCGGATCTTTTCATGACTGGCGATAGTTTGAAGTAGCTACTAGACTTCCACCGGGTTCGATAAGGAGCTAGGCATTTCAAATCTGAACATATATTTTTCCATAGCTTTATCTAGTCTGTTCTTGNTGAACAGCTTCGTAAGTGATTACCACATCATGTCCTTTGTTCTTTCAGAGTCGAGCATTTAAACAACTGTTAGGTGAATAGTAAATTGATTAAATTATTTACCGACCATTTTTTTATAACATTCATTTCCTGTGTGGTGCATAACCCTTTCCTTCATGCAAAGTTCGTGATCATGTATTTCTTATTTGGTAAAGGCACCAGAGAGTGTCATTTTTATGGAACGTATTAAAAGGTCAGACTCTTCGGCGTGTTATGATTTTGATATTTTGCAACCGCGTTGGATGCCTTATAGGATTGATTTTGGCTCGTAATGCTATTCTCCCCTCGAATTCCCTTTATATCATTGCATTCTCACACTATTCTAGCTCACCGTAATGCTGAAAATAAATGATTTTCTGAATTTTGTTAGTCATAACTGTTTTATTGAGAAGGCGGTTGCAACGAGATAATCTGATGCTTGAAAAGTCGAATGTGGAAAATTTTTTGAGAGTTTATGTCGACAAGAAGTCGAAATTTCAAAAAGCATGTCGAAGTGCGAGTTAATATAGCCAATTAATTGCTTGGAATGATCATGTCGACGATCTTACGAGTACCTAGATGTATAAACGATGCAGCAATTGTTTGACGCTCTCGTCCGCCCGCACCCAGAGTTTGAAAATACAAAGTATACTCATGGTTTTTACAAGATTCCAGAAGGATTGCTAGAATACGGAACAATAACCAATACCAGAGACCACGGTTAAGGACTAAAAAAACATGATGCAACTCATCCATGCGACAATACTTCTTCTCTCTTGGAGTTACAGACATGTGGAACAAACTCCCTCCTGGCATCTTTGACGCTCAGATTATCAACGCGTTCAAGAACAGACAAGATGAAGCTACTATGCAGAGGTATATGTTCGAATAGTCTGCCTATAGGTACTTTCCACCTCACAAATTGGTGGATGTTGCCAGCTTCACCTGAGTTCAGTCATTGTTATGTTATCGTTGTTAATATCACATTTTAAATTTGTAATTTTGTTTTGAAAATCCAGTTTTTGTTAATCTGTGGGAATCCGCAACAACGGTTCGTCTGAAGTTTGCTATGTCATATCTAGGGGGATGCATGAGAGACGCCAGCATTGCCAATACCAGCATTTATTTCATACCCATTTCCGTGCGCAAGGCGGCAAGCCTCCTAGCTACAGGGCAGAGTAGCCTTTTAAGGCCCGTTCACATTAGGGGGCAACACACGTGCGTCAAGCGCCTCACCGCCCCCTGCACAGCGTCTACGTGCGCTTCGTTTGGGCAACGATGCGATTGACTAGCTAGCGATTCACAGGCGCCCTGCCTCATGCAACACACACAAGCGATGGATGAGCGTTGCCAGATGGTATATTTCTATACCAAATTTCACAAATCTGGTATTTTCAGAAGGTGTCTGGTATGAATATTTCAGATCTGGTATATTTGCCTAAATCTGGTATTTTTCTGGTATTTTCGTGCTTACAGCAAATTTACTGCATTAAGTTCCACCTCTGAAGTTTGAACTTCCTCCAGCGTAGGCGTGGATTGTATAGATTACCTTCCGAGCGGCGCGACTAGAGCTTTCCCGCCATTTTTGGACCCGCAAGTTTACCACTTGATGAAATGACCCCAATCCAATTGTTAACGTTTAACAAAAGTGCTTAGTACAAATTAAGCACGAGAGTGATTATTCTTGATTGATTACTGCTCAGTGATGATATGGCCTAGGACGAGTGAGGTTGTCAAACTGATCTCTGCTACGCAAGTTCCACCATTTTTGTTTGGTGGTTTTGAATTCTAGTGTGCCACTTATTGGAGTGCCACTTGAATTCTGGGGTGCCATTCAATATTTCACTGATCTTGAAAATCATCATACATTCATAGAACTGGCTGCCTACAGCATCACTTGTCTACTTTGACTTGTCTCCAATGCATTCGTTGAGCGAATGTTTTCACAAGTCACCTATGTGAAAAACAAGCAACGAAATAAAATTTCAACTAAGGACTGGAGTCCCTTATTCGAACCAAAAGCTATCTGCTCAACCGCAAAAATAGATCACACCCGAAATGTTAGATAAATGCAATATGCAAGCATGTACGAAAATAAGCAAGAGGAAGATGACCTGTTTCCGTCATCCGTGTCTTGCTCATGTTGAGCGAAGGGGGAGAAGTGCCATACTGATAAAAAAGGAAAAAGTGACGAGGTAATCAAACAGGAAAAGAAAAGTCAAAATGTTCCA